CTATTATGGATTATTTCAATTATTTTCATGATGGTAATTTACCCAATAACAGTTATAATAATTGAAATAATCCATAATAACTGATTTTCCCATGACTGTCCCATGATAAAAACGTGATCCATGCAGAAAATTTTGCCAGGTTTCCAGTGGATTTCAAGGATCCTCTGAACATCATCGCGCTGATTTACGGGTCTCGTTATTTAAACGGCGTTCCGTTGCGGGGTTTTTTGGGTTTTTTGGGTTTTTTGGGGCGGGTTGCTGGGCCGATCTCATTGAATTTCATACATATAGAGGTTTTCTAAAATGAGGCAACTCCTGAATCATTCGTTCTAAATCGTTTTAGATTGGGATTTTCCATGAAATAAACCATCCAGCTATTGGGTACCCCCATTTATGGAAACCCCCATATGGGAATTGATGGAAAAGCAGACAAGTTCATAGTCCATCAATGTCTATCGTATGGGATTTGATGGAGAATCCCTAGGAAACATATTTGATATCAAATGTAAACCCACATACTTGATGGGTTTAACTTAATAACAAACAAAAAATGTGAAATTATGGGCGAAATCATGATGGTGTGTGGTGGGTGTGTAAAGGAACCATGGCTTGAGCCACACCTTCTGCGTATGGACATCAACATGTTGGAGAGAAAACGAATGGAAAACCGTGTCATTCTGGTTTAAAAGAATGTATGTTGTCATATTTTGTCACCAGATCATTTCAAGGACTTGGGGCATGTTTTTGTTGTACCCTGTGTCATCGTGTGAGGTATTTGCCCTTTGTCATTCCATTGGTGCCGGGCACTTGGATCACTTGGATCACTTGGACCTCAGCGGTACATCTGTTTGATGATCCCAATGGGATCTATGGATTTTTGAGTCCCAATTGGGGGCTGTTGATTCCATGGACGTCACATAAAAGGGGCATGGGATGAAAAACCTGACCTGGTTGGTGATAGCGATGAGGTTTTTCATCGATATGGTCGTGGAGCGTCGTTTCATCGCCTTCTATGGTCTCGTCGGGGCCCCGAATGGACTTGCTGACAGGGACGAAAGCAGGAGGTTTTGAAGTAGCTGAGTTGATGTTGGCATCCCAAGGATTTGAGGATAATTTCCAATGGGTTTCCAATATGGATCAGACTGTTCCATAATCCTTGGGCCTTTTCTTCCGCACTCAACCTGAAGCCAAGGACTCTTTGTTGTTTCGAATCCAAGGGCTTTACGGCGTTCGCAACACTTGGTGGTTCACCCTAGTTAGTACACGTGGGTTAGCTCACCCCAGTCAAAAGTGGAGTCACTCTAGTTAATGTCTAATGTTAACATCGTTTTAATAACCCCATCCTCAAACATGAAGGGACCATTTTGAGGCCAGACAAAGGTCCGGGGTCCATGTTGTTTTTTCACATCTCAGTATTTCTGCGGCCAACTACCCAGGCTCACCATGGATTAATCAAGCGGTTCACCATGAAACAACCCATCTAAACAGGAATTAGCTGACCAGTCAAGGCTTCAAGGAAAATTCGCTCAATTTGCCTGTTGGAAGGAAGTACTGTGGATTCCATAATACTATATAAACATCCATAAACCATATCCAACTATGAACCGCGTTTGTTTCCAAAGTAGGGGGCATATCCAACAAATCACGTGTGGATCCCACCTTGTTTCTTGGGTCGAGGATGTCAGGTTTGGGATGTCTTCCAATATAACAAGGAGCTTCCACCGCTGTTGTGTGCTCCAATAGTTCGCTGAGATGGGAAACTCATGGAAACTCCTAACGTTTGAAATTCCTAAGATATAACTGGTTGGTGGTTTGGAATTTTATGGGAAAACCATGGGAAAATGGTGATTTACATCGTAATTATGTCTGGTTGGTAGTTTGGAACCGTGGACTTTTATGACTTTCCCATCATATTGGGAATTTCATCATCCCAACTGACGATTCGTCAGTCATATTTTTCAGAGGGGTAGGGCGAAAAACCACCAACCAGTACCTAATGTAACAGACTATAATGATTCACATTAGGTCTTGTTGATCTATCTCCATGGTATGGTATACCACCAACCAGTCATGGGACAGATGCAAGTTGTTGTGTTTTTTCCTTCAGGCCGTCTCGGGTGTTGTGACTTTGATCAACGAGGCGATGGCTCGGTCGGTGGTCAGTTCCCCAAGTGACCATAGGTGATTCGGGGATAACCAATTTTTTTGGAAACCTCCATATATATTGGATGAATTTCATTGGGGGAGGTACCCTCTGGTAAACTAACATAACTATGGAAAATCACCATGTTTTAATGGGTAAATCCACTATAAATGGCAATTTTCAATAGCTATGTTAGTTTACCAGAGGGTACTCTAGATGTGAATGATTACTTGGACTTTCAAAATCCTTGAAATTGATATTTTCACAACCTGGAAACAGACATAAGCTACCAAAAATGGAGATAGCAAGCAGTAAAACTGGGCATGCCACTGTTGTTAGTAGATGTTTATAGTTTATAGACATTAATAGAGATGGTTTAGCGGGAACAACTCAACATGGGCTTATTTCCCATTTGAGCATTGGTTATCTGCATCTACCAAAAATATCCAAAAGAGTGATATGATCAACCACTTGAAAATTGCCTAGACTAAATACTTTGCTACTCAAGTAGCTGCTACTCGAGATACCCTTCAGAAAATTTAATTTTCTGCTGGTCGGTCAATTTTCCATTTACGTCAAAAACATGAGCCAGAAATTTAGGAAACCAAAGCTTTCCTAAGCCACAAATCCCTGAAAGTTGATTTGTTTTAATACCCCAAAGTAGTGACAATTACCAATTCATCCAGGGTAATGCATAGGTCGGCTGCAAATGCCTCAGCCAAACTGCTTGGGCCTTTTTGGGGTTCCCAAAGGCCCTAAGGTTGACCCCCGAAATAATGAAGCTGGGGAAACAGACTAGTTGGTGAATTTTGGTTGGATGTACCCTGGTTTCACCATCAAAACATGTGTATTTTTTTGGAAAAAAGAATTCGGATTTGGTCACCAAAGAAGCTTGGGTAGTTTAAGATGCGACTTGCTTGCCATAATTTTGGGGAGTGTAGTACTCAAATACATTCTAATTTTCCTCAAGAGTCTCTAAGATTAGCCATGGAGATGGAGGGACTTGTTGTGACTGACAGGGGCAGCTTGATCTAAACACCAAAATGGTTTGTATCTAAGTGGATTGGTCAGGGCAACTCAGCGCTACTGTAAGATGTACGGTGTGTTGGAAATATGTGTTTCTCTTTTTAACAGATATTTAGTTTGTTTTGTTTTGTTTGTTCAAATGGTGATAAAATGAAGCATATTATTTATGATATATATATATATATACATCTGTTGTATAATATATATATATATACATGTTATATATATATATATATTATAATGTATATATATATATTATGTCATATATACATATATATATATGTTATATGTTATGATATATATATATTCACATGAATATTCATTATTGTATAGTGGTCTCTTTATTTGTACTAGTTGTTTGGGTTGTTTGTAATCAAACCTTTGACTGCTGGAAGAAAAAACACATAGGAAAATCATGTGCAATTAGTCACTGTACCTATGATTCCCAGTTAGACCACCAGTTCTGTTGGCAAAAATCATGTATTTGTTGATATATCTCACTCAGCCAAAACCTCATGTTGGCTGTGTTTTTTTTCTCAGATCCTATATCTTGCGATTAAAAAGATCACCACAACCATGTTTGTGGGTCCTTTCACCACAAGCCGATTTTCATCATGATGCTTGAAGCCCCGAAATCCTGAAGGTATTGAACCCAACATCATCCCAAAGTCGGAAGATAGATTTATACATCTGCAGCACGATTTCCGGAAACAACAAAACTGTGGAAACGGATTCATTGAAACCTGTCAATGGATTGGTGGGAAAATCGTAACCTGAAACCATATTTTTTCCCATCAAATATATGGGTTTTCTGCAATTTTTCCATTAAACCAATCCATTGATACTTGATGACTGGAAGACTTTGGACATTTGAGACATGTCAGGTCATCTTGAAGGAACTCTTGAAACAGCCACGCCCCTATGGTTCCGCCAACCGAAAGCAGGGCAGCCCCAGAGGGGACAACCTGGACATGGGAAAAATGTCTTGGATTTCCCAAGTTTGTGGCTGGTTTTTCTACAAAGATGTTCGTTTTTTTTTGGGGGGGTTATAAATGTTATGAGTCATGAGCTTCCTCACTTTCTTCAACTTGATTTGTTCACTTAGCCCGAGTTTCTTCAGGGAGTTTTCTGGGATATGACAGTTTCAAGATTTAGAACCCCCAAATCCCGTGCAAAAAAATAGATGGCAGCTGAGGGAAGCCAAGAATTGGTGATGTTCCACACTTTCCATGTCATTATATGCGTTGTTCCATTGGAAAGCTTTGCGTTGAACATTGATCATTAGTGATATAGTGATGTATATATATATATATATTAATCACTATTCAATCATGAATGATGGGGTGTATGGCCATTATGGATGCTATGATTGCTATGATTTTGGCTCGGTGTCAGAATCTGGTTGCTTGTTGCTGGTTCCATTTTCGTCCTGTTCCATGATTTTTCATCTTGGAATGATCCAAAATTGGTGAAACAAACGCCATCACAGGCCATAAAAAGAATCACTTAGCACTGTGATATTGGGTGGAATATCATGGGTCCAAAAACTTACTGTTTTTTTTCCATAGTTTGGCATCGTGTGAGTATTCCAACCTTTTGGAATACCACAATGTTTAGATTAATGCAAGGATTCAGAGGTTTGACCAAGGCCATGCAACTAAAAGTTTGACCACTTCAAGAAATATGGAAAGCCAAACTGCGGCAAAGTTAATATTGGAAGAATTTTGTTCTGTTTGGTGATGGTGGTTTTAAAAGTATGTTTTGTTTCCACCCATTTGCATCTTCATTTGAGAGATGGTGATACTCTCTGGCATTCTGGCTCAAGTCGCTCTCCAATTGACTTGTCAGAAAACTCTATCTGACATTGAATTTCCATATTATCACACATTTTCCATGTTCGTAGGGCTTGAAATCGCCACTGTTCTGCTGTGGGTTGTTGCTGTCTCGGCTGTTTGGGATGTGGCTGAAGTTCCTGAGATGGCTTTGCTGCAGCGACATTTGGAGATCGAAACTCCCCTGATGCGACGTCTGAAAGCTTCGCCCATGTTCTGGCTGCACATCCCAAAGTGCGGCACCAGCTTCGCCAATACAGTAATGCATATGCCGAACATGTGCCCGGGTTTGGGGGAGAATTTGAGTTTCTGGATGAATCTTCATGAAATTGTTTATTTCTGCATTTGGTTTCTAACTTATTTCTAACTACTTCTGCCTGTTCATTGCTGTAGCTAGATGTATGCCGGTATAGTCGTGTGTAGTGGGGTTCAAAACTCCCCAAAACAAGACCCAGCGGCTGAAGGATGATCCGATATGATCCGATAGTTTAAGACTGCCCAAGACCTTTTTTTCGAGCGACGACCAATGCTTCCAAGGTATCGATGATGAGCAGTTCGGAAAGTGCTTCGAGCATACCCTGCAGGTGAACTGCCTGCGGTGGTGTGATCAGAGTCTTATTCATTGTAATTGGCCAATACAATCTCATCAGTTTTTGTCAGATGAGAAGTACGAGGAATACAAGGGCAAATTTGTGGCACTTCTACGTCAACCCGAGCAGCGTTTGCTATCTGCCTACAATGATGATGGTGACCTGTTCCGAGCAGAGCCCTATATCAGCATATGTGCTGAAAATCGCACACCTGAACGAATCCTGTCACTGGATGAGTTTAAATCCAAATGGGCTCACTGGACGACAGGGCAGATCGTCGGCCATCTTCCAGCTACCTTAGCAGATGTCCCAGTGGCGCTGCAAAGATTGAGAGAAGGCTTTGCATTTGTAGGTTTGCAGGAAGAGTGGGACCTGTCTGTATGCCTCTTTCATACCAAATTTGGAGGGCCCTGCCGCAACTTGGAATTTCTGGATACACGGCCGAGTGACAGAGCCACCGGAAACACAAGCGAATACGATACTTCAATACTGGATGGGTGGGTGGATGAAATTGATGGTCCTGTCTATACAGAGGCCCAACGCTTGTTCTATGATGATTTGAAACGGTACGGTGTTTCGCATGAGACTTGCCAAGCATGTTATCAAGAAGCCAATGTGGCATGACATTCGTGGAATCTATCAACTGTGCCGTGAAAAATACTCAGATGAGTTGGGACAAGTGAAGACACCCGAGCAAGCAAAGCTGTATGAATTCGAATTGACAGCTGGTTTCAAAGCTATGTTTTCTCATACTTGTAGGGTCTGGTTATGCCATTCCAAGTTGCCTCTAATATTGAAGCCAGAGAAATCCAAATGATATATGTAGTTAGTCCACATACCGCCATCAAACATAGATAGATTTAGGCTCGGAAAGTCTGCACAGACTTAAATTCATGTAGATTGGATAGATATAGAATGTACGGATAGATGGATGGACAGATGGATAGACAGGTAGATAGGTTGGCCGCTGATCCAGAGGTCCGCAATGGTACCCCAAAAAGATCCAAAGGTCGTCTATTTGCGGTGAAAGTGGATCCGGTTGCCAACTTCGCCCAGTTTCAAAGTCAGTCATCCAATGAGGATGAAATTTGGGAATGGCAATGGCTCAACGAAAAAAGATTGGACCCGAAGAAATGACTGGGTTTCATTTACTAAGCACAACCAATTCCGTAGGTCCATTGGTACCCCATAAGTTGTTTATTGTTTTTGTGCACCCTTGGGCCATATTCCATCCAATTATTTTGCATGTTAATACATGTTAATACCACCACCATTTATAGCTACTTTCTCTGAATGGGATCTGCAGTTATCTACCCAGTTTGGCATCACAGGTTCAACGAAAAGACGAAGAAATGGGAGATGAAGCCGGGAATGCCTTCAGGGCACGTGCTGAATGCCACCACAACTATGGCCCCTTGGCCGCGAAGCGATTGGAAAGGGATGGGGAGCCCCTAAGACGGTTGAGTTGGTGAAACCATGCTTTGGTGATAGATATAGGGTTAGAAGAGGTTATAAACCAACCTACAACTGGGGGCACCACATAGGGTAGATTGGTTGCATCGTCAGTTCCCCTCTATTTTTGCTGGGTCTCTACAGGTCAGATCCACCAAATTTGATGATTTTCCCAGCCGTTCAAGCCTCCATTTGTATTGTCCAGCCATGTTTGAGTACCGGGTAGATCCATTCATATCCTCATGAGCCAACCTGGAACCGCTGAACGCGGCAGGTTTGGTGTTTGCTGGAGGCCGGTTTCTACGGCGATGTTGCTCAGTTGCTGGGATATAGCATGATTCCCTGCAACGTTGCGGATGTTTACATGTAAAAAGACACCTTGTTCAGAATTTGGCAATGTGTTTTACCATGTCTTTACCATGGTTTCACATGTGTTTTGATTATGTTTTTTCGTGTGTTGTTGTTTTGTTTTGTCCTATTCACATGACTTCAAATTGACCCATCACATCACATTCCAAGTTTGTAGCATGACCACCCTTTGTGAATCCCAGCTTCGAAATACAGATGTTGGTCTTCAGCATTCAGTCTTTTTCCTGGAAATGTTTTTTTTTTCCCCTGTTTGCTCATGCAGAATTGATCTAGGGGAAGATGTACAGGAACCCCACATATCTTCTGGCCAACATTTAGGAATTCCATGGAATTCCAGTCGATTTTCCCTGGAACATCCATCCAGTGATCATGAAACCATCCAGCTTTTGGGGCACTGTCAATGCCCCAAACAGATCAACGGCACCAGGTGTCTTTGCGAGGCCCGGTTTGAATGGAACCAGTCATAGGGACTTTACAACCAAGACTTGGGGAATGTTCGGGATTTATACAATAGACTCTACGAATCTTGGCTTTGTCCCAAAATGAGGTATCCACCAAATGGCCGTTGAATGGGGTATCCATGAGTGTATGAAGCATGACACTTTTCAGGACACTCTATGTTCAAAGCAACTTAATTCAGTTGAAGGTTTTGGACCCTCCGAGGTTAGCTGGTTGGTGGCTTAAAATCTCAGATATTCCATGGGCAGATCTGCAATTCATCTGGAAGATTTGGACGGTCCGATGACTTGTTCAGGATTCACCAGCTGCACGGATTTGACGAAGTCTACGAAGTTATCATGTTCATTGGGGGAGCAGAACATCCTGCAAGTTTCATCTATGAACTAATCATGGAAACAATGTGATGCAGCGATGCATATTAATGGTACCATTTGTTTCTCGGACAATGGTGCAAAGAGTATAGGGAAACGATGGGTTTTGTGCACATTAAACCAGCGGGCCATGAGACAGTTTCAATGCCCGAATTTCATAGGGGTGTCCTGGGCATCATGGTGAAAGAACCAGAAAGGGACGCAAGTGTCGATTGGAGTACCACCTTTGGAGGAAGTGCTGAAGAGCAAGATTGGTTTGAACATTGGGTCATTCAGCTATGAAGTGCTACCAAATCCGAAAGTCAGCAAAGACCATGCTGGTATTTTGATTTTTGCTGGGACAGGCTGACACCGCAAAGTATTTGTCTTTTTCAAGAATCCTGATGCCGGATCAGCACTAGAAGAGTCATAGAATTCAAATGTTGACCTTCATCAGCGACTGTTGACAAAAGAATCCACCCAACAGAACCCAAAAGACCATATGACCATACAGGGTACCCTCCGCTCAAGGCGTGGAACATACACCATTTAGACTCATTGACTTCCATGGTTTTTCCATGTTTATCCTCTGAGTTCGATGTTTTGAGTGAAAACACCTCCTTTCGTGGGGATTTTCCACAGAATTTCAGCCCTTTCAGCCACCAGGGCCGGGCTTCGATGATCATCCCTTTATGACTGGCAAGCTCCTTCTGTTGATTCTCGTATGTATGGCTCCGGCAGCTTGGCGCATCGTGGCATCGTGGCATGCCCAAGGACTTGGACCTTGGACCTTCGTGGTGGGTTTACCATCCCCAAGTGAGGTATTTCTGGCGGCTTGTAGCAGTGGTCATCAGTTTTATTCATGTCTTAGGGATTTAGGGGGGGTACAGTTCCATCAATTTGTGTGGGTTATAAAACCATATAAAACCATATAAAACCATAGTTGTCATAGGGGCCCCATTGCCCCATATCCAAATTTTTGGAGGTGAGAATCCCATTTTTTATGAATATCTGAAGAACCCCAAGTGGCACCCGCAAGTCCGCAAGAAACATCAAGTAACATCAAGTAACACATTAATTAAGTGGGTTAATAAGCATTAAATCATTAAGTCCCCATTGGCCCCAATCCCTATTAAGATGCGCTGTGCTGCACAACACACCCAAGTTTCCGTAAACTCGATGGCTTTGAAGGTGCAGCTTCAATCCAGCAACGCCGCCGCCGCTTTAGCGGCGGGTTTTTGTTGCTACAACAATACGTTAATAACATGGTATAACCATGAAATATGGTGATGGTTTCCCATGAAAAAAATGGTGATGAAACTGATGACACCATCAAAAGAGACCAGTGAAGAATCAACCCAGAAAGACCAGTGATCTTCGGAAGGGATCGCCTCAGGTACCCTGGGCAAGGGTATACAACCAGGACCACAGTGGCTCAGCTCAGTTTCCCCGTACCACCATTGTGATCGAATTACTATGATTCGTGGGTGGATCATCTAATACTAATTAATCCTATAGATCATCTAATTAATCTGATCCTACATGTTTGGGTGGTTCTGGAGGTTGGCGCGCGAAATTCCGACCGAATTCTCAGGGATTCATTTTCTTTGGTGTTCAGTGGTCCATCAAATTTCACCAAAATGAGGTGAATCCACTGTTGATCCAGTAGACCTGTGCCACATCCATTCCGTTTAGGTCTGGCCCAGTGTACCGTCGCCGGTGTCCTGGGTGTCTTTGCAGGTTGGATACATCTGGGGTCGATCCCTGCTGAAGATGTTGATTTTCCCAACGGGAAAGCCACTGGGGAGTCGAAAAAGGAAAAGCTGTTGACTTTTTGGGGTTCAGCAAATCCAAAGGGTAGTAAATCATGATTAAATGATGGTGAAGATATGTGAAGATATGTGAAGATGATGTTCCACAAACACTTGGGATGCAGGGCAATTAACCCGATTCTTGGACAAACCTACATCTTGATCTAAAAGGTTGTAGAGCGCTGTTGGATGCCGGTGGTAAATTTCACATAGAACCTGAATACTGGGGTCCCAAAGATTATCGCATAATGGTAAATAAGTCAATTGTCATTTGGCCTATCGCCTATATACATTATTTGGGGAGTACTTGGGGATCTTTGGAGGACAATATCATCACCGTTGTGTATCAACCTTATTGATAAGGAAAAACAGAATCTATGAGATCTATGAGCATGTGCAGTCTAAAGTCGGCTTGGTGGTTTCAAGCCTGTTTTGTTTTGTTCGAGCGGTAAATCTGCCAGAAATATTGGATGGATTGTCATTGTCCAATCTTGAAGCAGTTCTTGCCTCTTCTTGCTACACATAGTGACATGTCATCTTCTGGAGTTGCAAGTTCGTAATTGAGGCAACACTATTCGAATGAATATCCCCATGTCGTTTCTGTGCAAAAGTGACAATGATTCGGGCCGTTGGGTGTGGCCAATCTCCATGCACAATCTCCATAGAAAGTATTGCGTCCCAGCATCGATGGTTGCATGAAGTTTCCCGACATTATGGCTTTTAAACTAGTTCAATTCTATTTCATCTGGTTGGTGGTTTGGAACATTTGTTATTTTCCCATAATATATTGGGAATAATCATCCCAACTGACTTTCATATGTTTCAAGTCATGGTTCATCCATGTTTATCTCCATCAATTGGATGGTAGCCAGTAGTTCCCACATGGACAGCAGGTCTGATGGCCTATTGGGTGAGATACCACTACTTCCCCTTGCAGGCCGAGAAGGTGCCAAAGATGGGGGAAGAAAAACAGCCACGGTGTTCATTGGAAAAAAACAGGGATAACTGAACCATTCAAAATAGCATAGTTGATAGGTTATGAAATGGGGATTATACTATATATTACTATTTGGCTTTAATGGAGATTATAATAAGCCATACTGGGGATAACTCTAAGATAACTAAGATAACTTATTGCAGAAGTATGAAGTTCTATGTGGGCGATTCAAGGTTCGCCATGTATAGTCATATTTGTCAACAGCTGGGTCTGCAGTGTTTCTGACTAGCAGTGGGTGAACATGCTCATCTTGACAGGCTTTGACATGGTTTGCTAAGTGCTTCCAAATTAGCACGTAATCATGTAGGCTTTTGCTGACCAATGGACTGAGTGTTTGGTAATTTCTAACTGATGTGCTCGTATGTGCATTGGGGGGATGCAATGCGCCTTGGTTTTATGAACCAAAGTTACTGCTACTTTCACCTTTTCATAATTTCTCTATATATTCTATGATTTTATGACTTTCTATGATTTTCTATGATATCCTTCCGAACATCATGACAACTGCGCATCTACCATTTGTCAGAAAGCAAGCTTCCGATTTCCAACCACAAAGAGTTTTGATGTTGTCTGTTGTACAGCACTCCCAACCCCAAGCGGGTTGATGGGTATAAGGGTTGAGTGGTATATGTATGGTTGTTGTACACTACCGTTCATGATGATATTGAGTGGAAGAATATGACAACTGATCAAAGAAAGCTGGTTGATATATTCAGGGTGAACAGCGGCGTGATTACTTGATAGACAGAAAAACATTCAGTCATTTCCAGTTTCTATAGATTTCTTTGGATTAATTATCCATATACCCTCTGGTTATGACTAACATAGCCATGGTATAGATGGCCCATAAAAATAGATGGTTTACCTATTGAAAATGGTGGATCTTTCCATGGCTATGTTAAATAACCAGAGGGTAAATTCTATAGATGTTTGATTTTTCATGTTTTATGGATGATTTCCCCATGAAACTTTCGCTTTCCGAGCCCTGCATGTCGAGGAATGGTGCGTCTCCAAGTGGTGTCTGGTGAGTGGGTCAGACTCCTCAGCGGTCTGGAGAGCAGTTCAGAAAAGCATGGGATTTCAATGGATAAATATGGATAAATATGAAAAAAAGGATAAATATGAAAAATATGGATAAATATGGATACATATGGATACATATGGATAAATATGGATAAATGGGATTTACATCATGACCAGAAAAATGACTTGTTACCAGAAAGAAAAGTGGATTTCATGGGATTTTTAATGGGACTTATTTGGGATTGAATGTGATTTAATGTAGCTTTAACTTTAATGGGATATATAATTATTGGAGTTTATGCAGCAGTAACCAGCCATGTTATTTGACACTTGGCGGTTCATCCCAGGAATCGTAAGTGGGTTGGAACCCTAGTTATAAGTTCACCGGATAAATAGGGTTAGTCCAGTTACAACTGAGGTTATGACCCACTTCCTATTTAACTGCGATGAGCCACCAAGTACAGTACCCAATGTTTTGGGACAAAGACACGTGAGGATCAATTCAAGATACCTTTGTTTTTTTTACAGATCGTTGAGGATGGCTATCCTTTGGTTGCTACCACCTTAGTGGGTTGGACTGAAATATGCCATCCATGTTGTTTGTCACGATTCACCATCCTTTTTCCCGTTAAATTGCCATGAATTGGGGTACATCCCAGGAATAGGCGCCACATTCCGGTCAGAGTTGCATGCGGAACCATAGCCATGGCAGATCACCTATTGAAAGATGCTCCATCAGGAGCCTTGGATTCCATAAGTTGCCGTGATTTTGGCAATCTCCGAGAACTATAGAATAACCTTGTTGGTGGTTTCAAAGATTTTTATTTTTCATTTCATATATGGGATAATCCTTCCCATATTGTCCAAGATGGGCACATTGCACCACCAACCAGTAACTGTAAGACCAAATCTGCCATGGATGTTCAGTATTGCCATGGGAAATCTCATGAAATATCCCATGGAAAGCTGACCATTGGCACTTGACCAGGAAGCCCTGGGATCCTTTCCTTCCGGAGGGTGATGCCCTGGTCGCGGCTGCCAGTGGTGTGACGACCATGGTCTCAACGACCTTGCAGGAGCCGATCAAATGTGGGTCGATGGGAAGAAAGGGTCTATATTATATTATAATATATACATATATACATGTCATAAAAACAGATTTAATAGTAATATATATATATATATGTGTGTGTGTACAATATAGATATGTATATATATATATATAGTAAAGATATGATATATATATATATATACATAATATAGATATGTATATAATATATATTTATATAGTAAAGATATGATATATGTGATAGATGTAATACTCTAAATATCTATTCTTTCATGTTGAGTTATTGTAATTTAGCCAGATCTTTCATACATGTTTTTCAATGCATGATGTGGTAAACCTTTACACCCCACCATGAACCATAGGTGTTTACAAACTATGCCTGAGTATTCCATATTATTAGTCTATCTCATACCATTGCTTGGTTACATTATCCAATAAATCATCACCATTAACAATACAATATAATTTTTGGTGGATTAAATAGACTTGCAAATTGGCGTACGATGCATTAAAACCTGAACACATATAAAGTATGTGCATCATTAATGGTTGATTAAACTCCATTTCGTTTTTCCACATCCATTATATCGCATTAAATTTCGTTACATCCCCACAAAGTCCCCATTAAATCCCATAAATCCATATAAATCCTCAAAGAATTCCCCACTAAATTAGATGCCGTCAAATCCCAACTAAATTCCATGAAAATCCCATGAAATCCTAATTTTTTGGGGTAACATGTCATCTCTTTCACCTTCATGTTCGCCAGGCGGGCTTCTCTTCGCTGGCCACGGCAGCAGCAGGCGACTTCAGAGGGCTTAGGTACGGGTCAAGGTCAAATAAACAAAACAATAGGATGAATGGCAGTAAGCATGTCCGGAAAATCTCGATGTTTGCAAGATATTTTTAGTATATCTATGTTGCTCCATGGAAATTTGCTTAGTATCTAACATGGGAATCAATATCAATCAACCAACCATTAGGTCACGGATCACAGAAGATGAACTGGGTAGTACTTGGGGTGCCATTTTCGGGGTCATTTTCGGGGTAGAAAAAACGCGTATAATGCGGGATTTCAATCTGCATAGGTTGGGATATACAACCTACAACTACAGTGAAATAATCCACTTGTTAGTGGAACTGCACCCCCAAGTGTTACTAATGACCGACAGAGGATGGATAGCTATTAACACACCTATGAACTCTAAACCAACAAGTACAATGAGATGGGATTACTTGGAAAATTGAGAGCCATAGTAGTTATACATCAATATATGTATATATAAACATATATATATATACGGGTAAAGCTGTATATATATATATGTATATATATATATATAAATAACCATGAGATTGCCTCGGCACTCCACCGCTTCATTTTTTCAGGCGAGAAGTTGTAGCTCGAGGAGATGCTGCCCTAAAAAAAATGCTGGTGGTTTGTGTTTTTAATCATCTTGAAGTAGATAGAATATGGTATTTTCAAACATATTCCACCATTTTTGGTCAGTTCTTTTCACAAGTCCATACTCAATCTACTCCAGCATGAACACATATATATATATATATATTTATATTTATATATATATATATGTATTTGATTATACATATACATATATATATGTTTATATAAGTATATATATATATGTTGTTCTATTTTCCATTTTGATACCTAATACTTGGGGGAGCCAAAGAATTTGACACATCGACTGCACCCTTTGATGACTCCTTTGGAGAAATCAGGGAAGCCCAAGGGCTTCATCTTCAAAGAAGAACAGTCAATAAGAAAAGATAGCAAAACTCCATCAGGTTCATGTTGTTGGATTCACAAGTTCTTAGAATATCAGAGTCTTGAATTCCCACATGATTCTGGATTCCTTTGAGAGTTGAAGTCATGGGAATGTGTCCTTTCCTGGCTCAAACCCGCTGAAAAAAGCCATGACAACTCGAAGGAAGGGACGTCACAAAGGGATGATTGGGGGAGTAGGGGGAGTCATCCCCAAATTCTTTCATTCAATGAATTACTATAACTTAACCCATATGATTTAAGATGATATAAGACATTTATGGGAACATCATGGCTCGAAAGAAGGGCTCCATAGCATTTCAATGAAATGATGAAAATAATGAGGTTGACAAGTTTTCACTTGTTTGATGAGAATGATTTGGGTTTGTCTGCAAATAGGATGGCCCCAAAGCCAGTGGATTATCATCTCCCGATTTCAATGGTGGGATGCCCAATTTTCAGACGCACCCTGCACACTCGGTTTTTGTCGATCTACGTACTTGCGGAATTCAAATGAAAAGATGCCTCCCATGCAGAATAAAGATAATTCAGTAAGGAACCTTGGACCCACTGAGTTTATGTCAATCATCTCACAGATTTGATGAACTGGTGGGATGAACAAAGAAACGGTAGATGGCTACAGTACCAGGGCGAATGCCCAATTCGCTTTACTTCAGCTGAATTCTGGGAGTTCAGATCTATGTGCGACAGAATTTCCCTGTGCAGTCCATCACACAAAGGCAGATCCAAACATCCCCGCATATCCAGTGCTCGAAATACCAATTGGTAGATTATGAAATAGGGCTTCTTATTAGCACTTATTAGCCTAGTTACAAACCCGGATTCAAAACACAAGCCACAACTGAAAACCTATATCAACCAGCCATGTATTTCATGGGATTCCTACCACTAGGATCCATGCTCTCAGCCATGGTAAAATGGTAACCTTATGGGGTAAGACATGGTAAAACACTTTTTTTGGAGGTACTGGCAAGGTCTAGGAAAATGTTTTTTGTTCCCAAAAACCATGATGAATCTATGTCGTCCCTGCCTCCTATGGAATAATACGTGTGGAAATCAGCTTTGATTCACAGTGCAAACGTAGCTGGCGCGGAGTCTCTTTTAGCTGGCTAGAGCTCAAAGCCATGACTTTCAGAGCTTTCTTCAGCCTGTTGCTCCTCGCGCACGTCGGGACCTCTGCTGCCTCGCAAAGTCGGAACCTCTGCCGGCTCTCTGCGGAGGCGTTGATAAGTCGCGCACCGACATTTTCGCAGGTCAGCATTACCACCAGCCACTGGGAGTCTACCCGGCATTTCTTGATGGCATAATATGGGGATAATCATTAAGTTACCATAAGTTACTTATGAAGCATGACCACTTATCATTTTTTGAGAAGCGGTTGGGGTCAAACGGTGAAACCATGATTTTTCATGTGATCTGGGATTTTAACGGAATTAGCTGGGACTCAATAGGAATTATTTAAGCATCCTAGGGAATATGAAACCATTGGTGAATTCCTTGTAAAAGCTGGTTGATGATTGGTTGGGGATGATCAGAATCCACGAGTTGGGAGTCCCCATGAAAACTGTATGTTCCAGGGGCTTTTCTGGAACTGAAAACAAGGTGGGCCAGAGAACCCAAAAGCAAGACGGCACACAGCATACTTTTTTAAAAAACAAGATGCAGCCCACGAACCCGAATGCTCACACGTATGTTAATGGTACAGATGTCGAAACACCTGGATATGCAGTCACGCAGAATACTTTTGTGAAACAGTTTATTTGAACAGTCTTGTACATTTTTCCCCTGTTGCCAGTCCAGTGCACCGTAGACTGTGGACTATGGAAGAAGGTGGCGTGCTAAGTGTGGAGTGTGGAGTGTAGAGTCTGGAGTGTACAGTGTGGTGTGTAAAGTGTAAAGTGTAAAGTGTGGAGCGTAAAGTGTACAGAGCGTAAAGTGTAGAGTGTAAAGTGTCGAGTGTGGAGTGTGGAGTGTAAAGTGTGGAGTGTAAAGTGTGGAGTTTAAAGTGCGAAGTGTGGAGTGTAAAGTGTGGAGTGTAAAGTGTAGAATGTGGAGTGTGGAGTGTAAAGTGTAGAGTGTAAAGTATAAAGTGTGGAATGTGGAGTGTGAAGTGTGGAGTGTGGTGTGTGAAGTGTGGAGTGTGGTGTGTACAATGTAGAGTGTAAAGTGTGGAGTGTGGAGTGAGGAGTGTAAATTGTAGAGAGTGTAAAGTGTCGAGTGCGGAGTGTAAAGTGTAGAGTTTAAAGTGTAGAGTGTAGAGTGTGGAGTGCAAAGTGTGGAGTGTGGAATGTAGAGTGTGGGTTGTGGAGTGCAAAGTGTAGAGTGTAAAGTGTGAAGTGTCGAGTGTGGAGTGTAAAGTGTGGAGTGTAAAGTGTAGAGTGTACAGTGCAGTGTAAAGTGTGGAATGTAAAGTGTGAAGTGTAAAGGGTGGAGTGTGGAGTGTAGAGCGTGGAGTGTAGAGCTTGCAATGGGACACGTCTGAAGTGCTGCGCCTGCCACGCAAAATGACGACAGAGATCTCCAAAATGCTGCGCTTGCCACGAAAACTGCAACTCATCTTGTGAAAACGACGCAAAAGCATTGTGCCTGCCACACAAAACGACTTTCGACACGTTATCAAACAGGTTGGAATGTCACAAAGTGCCGCGCCTGCCACGCGAAACGAAGCAACGCGACGTGTGAAACCTCCAAAAGTGACCCCTTTTGCAGAACTTACCAAAGGCACGGCCATACGGGACTCGCGCGGACGGTTGCTTGAGGGAACATACCCTCAACCCCCCAGACCCCCATAGTGAAACGGGAACCCTTGCTACGCATTCGGGAAAAATATTGTGGGAGTCAACATGTAAAAATAGCCACATGTTTTTGGGAAAGTTGGGAAAATAATGATTGACCATGAGGTTTTAGAGTACCCGATTTTGAGACATCATCGCCCTCCAAAACGGTACCCGCAGCGTAACCACCGATATGGAGGGCGTAATCGATCGTGCGTGAATCCTAATGAATCCTATATTTTTGGGCTGCAGGCCGGGGGTTATCAATGGGTATAACATGGTAGAACTATGGCAATAACCTCCACAAGTTGGGATATGACTCCTACAACTATGGTTTTATAACCCACTTGCTAGTTTGTGCGAGGCTTAGAAGTACCAACCCATTAGCGAGGTGAAATGCCCGATCCATTTGGGAGGCAACTAAAATAACTAAATCAATTGGAATCTACCAAGGGAGAAGTGGTACACCGGTGTACCGATGGGTCCTCAAGTTACTCATGAAGGTGGGTACGGTTCAGTTTTATGGGTACTGGTGAAGGTACCCAAATTGCCATGCAGGTTATTTGTTTGATGTTTTTGCTTTCCATCCACCAAATCCCTCATTGCCTCCACCAGCGAGGCCACCTTTATAAACAACATTTGGCGGAACATTTCTGTGGCATAGGTGCGGATATGACCGCCGTGGAACTTGGGGTCTATCATGGATATACCACCTCCATACTCGCCAACATGTTCAAGAAGGTGATCGCAGTGGATGTGAACAAAGGGCTCATTGAGATCGCAGCCAAGACTTTGGGTGAACTGGAACAGGAAAACGTGGTGTTTCTGATGATGGATTTGATGGCGGATGGTTGGAGCAAATTCGCCAGCAACGATGTAAAGGTGGTGGTCATTGATGCAGATCACACCTATGCCGGGGTCAAGCGTGATGCTGGCAATGCTTTACGCTACCTGCCAGAGTTGCAGTGGCTGGTCTTTCACGACACTTGGATGGACCAGATCGAACTTGCAGTTCATGAATTCGAGCAGCAGGGTCTCCTAAAATGCACCCAGGCAATCGTGAATTTATGGTTGCTGCTGGTTGGTGATTAGGTGATGTTAGGTGTTTGGTTGATATTTTGTCCAGAAAGTGGGAAGATCGTCCAAATGTGTGATGAATTTGGGTTGAAACCACCCTCCAGCTTACTGGACCGCATCTCCCTGCTGATATTTTGCTGATTCTTGAGTCTCTCCATCCATCCACATGATTTATGTTCCTTCAAAAATCTTAGGCTTAAGGGATGTTTTTTAGTGTTTTAGTGTTTTGCACAGGCACCGATGTTGGCTTGGGATTTGATGGTTCCTCCTATGAATATCCAACCGTGGACGATCAACTTCCTGATGGCGCGACCGGCAAAGTCACACGCATCACCATCCGACAGAAACCGGAGGGCAAGATCTGTAGACGATTGTTGGGCTCAGAGATTGTTCAGCCCAACTTTATCGATCAACAGTTTATGCTTTACAGGCGCTGCAGTGATGAAAGGTGACCAACTGCAGGGGGATTGTCAACTGGGATTGATCGAAGGATGATATCTAGTCCGGGTTCCTAAGGGACCCCAAGTTATCATCCAAAAATCATCATTCCTACTAGGGAGACTCATTATTTGGGGTACTGCAGGTAGCTGATATCTGTTGATAGGATCTAAGCCAGTAGGTACACTGCACCGATTTGGTGCAGTGCCAGGCAGGGGAATGCTAATCTTTCTGTATCGTTCCCAACCAAGTCACCACCGGATGCGTGCTCACACGCAAGGAAACATGAGGCCGCTCACAGCCTTGTCACTGGCCACGCAACTGGTTCAAGGGGCCCCTGAGCATGATATGGCGTCAGGTGTATTGAACTCATGGTCACAGATACGAAGGGAATTGGAGTATTGCAGGACCCCAAAATTCTTGTGAGTTCTAGACACCGTCGACCTCTGTGCCTCTGTGCTAAGTTGCTTCTGAGGGCTCTGTCTTTCCTTCCGAGCAGATCTAATGATTTGTGGATCAAATCGAAGCATCCACACTCGGCTCTCCAAGAAAAAATCCAATGACTCTCGACACTCCCATTTCTTTTTTGTCAGGGCATCAGACAAGTTCCAATCAGAGGCTAACCAAACGAGTTTAGTCGCACAACGTGGGAGTGACTCTTTCAATTGAAACGTTTGCAAGGCAGCACGGGTGTGTGACAAACCAAGCGGAGGAGACTCATTCACAATAATGCTATCATAGCCACCCTTGCTGTCTGTTCCTAGCAAACCAGGTACATTCTGGACTTCATCCAGCGAGGCTTCTAAAAGGTTTCGTGAATTGTCATGGGCTCCAGCGCCATTAATGTCAGTCCACAACAAACGAGTCCAGTCCTCGGTTTCTACCAAAGCTTGCACCTCAGCATCATTGGTTCCAATGGATTTTCGCTTTAATTTCCACGACTTCCAATGGACCAGAATCATTGGATTTGGTGCACCTCTACAAATGGCTCGGCCGCGCAAGAAAATGAGCATGCCACCAGTGGAGCTACATTTGGGACGATTTAAATGTGCTTGATCGCCCAGACCTACTACGACTAAATCAAACCAACTACTCACACCAGGCAGTTTGAAAAAATTGAGCACAGTCGCAGATTTTCGAAGCTCACGAATAATTTCTTGAATTTCCTGTGCTACACTCATCTTCGGATCAGTAGTGAGGTCAGTCAGCAAAAGATTGCAGCGAGCACAAGCTAAAGGCTGAGTTTGAACTGCCACCCACTGAACTGCACCTAAAGACGCTCTGCACTCAGTGACCTCCTTGGCCGTCATCTCGAGATGACCTTGAGAAACGCTGGGGATCGATTTGAACATCTTGCAGGGTCTCGATGTAGTATTGCTGATCCACCACCAAGGTTTGTCCATAGACAGAATCAGAGTGCATCGAAAGATCAGTGCCAGCATGTCTATACTGGTTGGTTTTGATCGAACCCCGTTTGTAGAGAGCACCTATTTTCCTTCTGATCTCATTCCATTTTTCATTTGTTCTATCTCCCGCTCTGTGGAAATTATCAACATGACCAGCCATGAACCCTATTGGTTTCCATTGTCGCTTTTAAGACTCAGGGTTCTTTTCATTTTCAACCCACAATCAAAAACATGCATCACCCTTGATCTTGACAGCACCTAAACCTTTGAGGGAACTATCAACGTTCTGAAACAGATTCTTTGGAGCTGTGGTGCTTCCATTCAGGGCTTCTCGCAATTCTCGCTCGCCAGAAGTCCAGAGACGCTGGGATTCCTCAGTGGGAAGAGTCTGCAAAAACGCTGTGCTCATGTCAATGCCCTAAACGTCCCACGAACTGGTAGGAGACATTCCTTGTGATGACTGCTTGAACCGGAGAGGCAGTTTGATGCTCACCAGTAAGGAGATCAGGGTGCATGTTCAAAGCCCAGTAGCACAATACGTGCCTTTGCTTTCTTCTTGGCATCTTGGGTGAGTGTCGTACTTGATGGCATCTTGTGCTTCTTCCAAAGATTCAACAGGAGTTGGCTTCCAAGTCAGAACCCAACGACATCTCATCAGACGTCCGCTCTGCTTGGCTTCGATCTCTCCATTGCTGTTGAGGCAACGTCTGACCGCTTGATTCGCCAGAAAGGAATTGACCTCTTTGGTCTTGGCTCGATCAAACAAAACACGATGCTCAGGACGCAGCTTTTCATACCGAACTTCACAATCTCGAAGTTTTTGAGCCAGGAAAAGTGAAGGATGATGAAGCAGCTTCTTCTTTTCTCGGTTGGAGGTCAAGTCAAGCTCCACCGTCAGGACCCAGGCTGCTTCGCAAACATCTAAACAGTTGAAAAGCAAAGTTTCCGCATCTTCCAGTTTTGGTCGTTTCGAATCAGCTTCATCACCTGCTGAGCTCGCACGTTTGCTGGATTCCTCCAACAAACGAGAAGCTGAAGGCTGATCCGCTGCACGTTCTTCTAAAGTTGGAAGACCACTGCCTATACCTTCATCTTTGTCATCGACATCATCATCAATTTCAACATCTTCAGGCAGTGGAGAACCAGGAGAGTACTCATTGACAGGGTCTCTCAAGTTGAGATCATCATCTTCAGGAACTGGAGGAAGAACTTGAGCCGGTTGCTGTGAAGACGCAGGGCGACCATCAAATTCACCAACGTATGGACCAGGTTTCATATTGCGTCGGAACTTCGGCTTGAAGGAAATAGTGGGCTGATCCGCTCGAAATGGTAAATTTGGAGCATCCTCATCATCTTCGGTGGGTTCTTCTGCAGTGACATCTACATAGGAACGTTTTGGGAGAAGGTCTTTGAGACTTTGCCAGGTTTCTGGATGTTCTGGCGCATGAATCTCAAACGTTCACGTTCAGTGACTTTGCGAATGCTATGAACACTGCAGCGATGCATAGTTCCACCAATTACTACCCATACTATATGTCTACGCTGATCTTCAGGTCTCTGGCCTTGTAGAACTTCATGAAAAACAACACGACCAGGACCAAGCCATTGCGCTCGGAAAGTTTTGTGCATGCCACCTCTAGGACCTTGTTCAGCTGCATATTTTCTCCATACCTTCACCAATTTCCATAGGATAAAAAACTTGAAGAGGTTGCCTGGCTTTGCTGTTACGCAACTTCCCCAAAGCAGACTGAGCTCGCACCTTTCGCGCAATGTCCTCAGCACTGGAACGATTGGCCATGAGCTGAGTGAAGTCTCGGTCTCTAGCCGTAGGCATCAGCCGTGACATAGCGCTCTGGTCCTCATCGCTGAAGGAAAACTGTTGACCACAGGCCCATTGCAAAGGAGTATAACCACTTACACGTTCTGTAGCATTCATGGCATGAGTTGCAAGAGCTAGTGAAGTCTCAGGTTCCAGTGAAGGATTGGATAGGTGCACCTTCGAAGCCACATTCAATTCTTGGTCTCTTGCACAGCTCGTTCCATAAGGCCATGTGCCCAGGACTCCTTCACAGCTGGAGGGTCTAAATGAATGTTGAGGTCGGAGAAGATCATGCGAAATTTCTCACCGACAATCGTCTTGGCATTGTCAGGGATCAGCACTTGAGGCTTAGGCTTTGTGGCCAGCCAGTGCTTGCAAAAAGCATCAAGAATTTGATCTTGAGACTCTGTTTTCATCTCCTTGGAGCCGTACTTCATCAAAACCACGGTGTTTTTGAACTCTGTCGCCAGGTCCATCATGACAAGTATCTTGTATTTGTCTGCAAGGCCAGGTGGCATCCACTCAGAACAGTCAAGACCTACGACCTCCCATGCACGTGGAAGAGGGCGCAGAGAAGCTGGTGGAATTTTGCCACTGGATATGCCGCCCAACTTCAACGCAGAACAATCTCCACACTTCAGCTGAAGTGCAGTTTCGATCTTCCATTTGGACATGCCAGCGTCCTTCAAGATTCTGCCAAGGTTGAAGTTGTTTGGATGACCTGCTTCACGATGGTATTTTTGAAGTTGTGCTTCCCATTTTCGTTTTTCAGCTGCTGTTGGTTCAACTGCTGGCACAACATCACCTTCACGTTCTTCATCATATACTACTATTTCATCACCAGCAAACAGTTCAAGTTGTTCATGCATCTCTACAGTGGACAACATGTTAGCAGCTGGAGCATGTAGAGCATGAAGACGTTTATCAGGATAGAGTTCTGATCGCCATGTTTGTGCAAAAGAGACAACCATCCTCCATGGATAATATGTAGAACGTGAGGTTTCCAAGCCTTGTATATGATCATGTTCATGGGATCCAACACATACCTTCGTTTTGTAGATGTTGTAGAAAGATTCCGATGCTGTGGCTATAGTCCATGACTTCTTCAAGAAACCACCACTCAATGACCGTAAACCATATCGACAACCATCCACTCTACAAAAATATAGCGGTTTGCCCAAACGCTGAAGAAAAGCTTGAAGCCGTAGAAACATTGGTTCTTCACAACCAGCACATCTTGTTGGCCATTCCCAAAAGAGTTCTAGGGGTTCATCCAAGATCACAGACTCCTCAAGGAAGGGAACCAGCTGACGGAACATGGCACGCTCTTTCCGTCGATAGGCTTCCAGTTTGGCACGTTTCTCTTCAGTGTTGTAGTTCAGGGCTGTCCAACCAAACCAGTATGTGCATCGTGCTGATACCCACATTCTTTTTGGTTTCTCACGACCACGTTTCTCACGCAAAGAAGAGTAAGCCTCCTTGCGATGATACATGTCGAAATTGTTCTCCAAGTTGATCCGCTGACAACATAGACCTTGTTCTTGGCAAGCGCTGGGGAGCCAGCTCTGTGGGGCACAAAACATGTCCCACACATCCTCTTGTCCACCTCTGATCAGATCTCGAAGGTCAGAGTGTGCGGTGGCGATCATCATTGTCATCATCGCCATGAGAGCCTTAGCAATTCTCCACGGCAAAGTGCTCGTAGTGGAGGTAGAAGAGCAAAAAGTATCAGTCTCCCAGTCCTCAGTTGACGATCTGTGCTTGCCAGTGTTGGACCGCTTGAAAGTCAAATTCTTTTTCTTTGGTTTTTGGATTTTTGTTTTGGGGGCCTTTCCATCCTTCTTGGAAGTGTAGGCCTGGTAGTGCATCATCTCGATGGCACTGTAGTCTTGCAAGCCATCAGGCTGCAGGTCATTCTCTGAACCCGGGCTGCTGTCGACTAACGACATTTCGATCACATCGCGCTCTTCAGAGAAGTCAACCATCTTCGTATTGCCCTCGATCTGGAGAGTGGCACGATCTAACTTGTCTCGGGTTGGCCCTGTGGTTGAACCAACTCCACATCTGGATCTTCCTCCTCCTTCTCCGCTTCGGCTTTCCTCTGAGCAGCCATTTCCTGGAGGCGTTGGATCTCCTCCGAGGACATGTGCTTCAAGATCTCCTCCGCATTGAGACTTGTTGTAGAGCTCGTTGCAGGGCTTTCCGAAGCTTGCTTGGTCATGATCTTGTACTTGGCCATGTTCTGGGTCACCTGCTGCTGCAGCATGTAGGCTTGCTTTTCCAGGGCTTCCAGCTTGGATTGGTCCTTGTAAATCTCCATTGCCAGCTTCACCATCGGCGCTGTGCAATGCTGAGCTTTGACATCCTGCTCGAGGAGGTTCAAGGCCATGGTGATCACCTTCGGATCCTCCACCTTGCTGGTGCTGCCGGAGTAGCCCTCTCTCGGGACATAGGACAGCCTCAGTCCGCAGGCTTTGCAATCGGCCCACTTTGCATAGGCGTTCGACCCTTCTTGAAACGTCCCGTGTTCTCCGCAACAAGGCCGTGGACTGGGATCGCCACGGGGATCTGTGTGATGCCATCCCTTCTCCTTGGTATAGTGCAAGGGTGCCGCTTTGCTGCTCTTTGCCGGAGAGGTCTTTGGAGGCATTTGCAGTCGTGGAAGCTGTCGGCTGACCACGCTGAGAAACTTGAGCGGAAAGATCTCTGGAAGAGGAAGCTTGGCTCTGGTTCAGCTTGATTCTTCGGTTCCACATGTACTGAAAAAGAGGTTTCACTTGAGCACCATGCTCATGCTCTTGCTCATGTGTTGAAACTTCATGCTGTGTATCATTCATGCCACATAGTTCCATATAGGACCAAGTTCCAACCAACCCACATCACTGTCCTCACCGGTCGAGTCGCCTCCAAAGTGAAGTGCTATCGAAGACCAGTTGACGCCTCAGAGCCGGAGGAACCGCAGATGTACTCCTCAATGTTCACCATGAAGTGACCCTTTACATTCTTGAGCATGTAGTATGGAGTGGCATCTGGATCTTTGGCATGTACTGCATGTCCATCACAAAAGTCAAGAATGAGGCCTACCTTGGAGAGGAAGTCCATACCTACCAAAATAGGAACCAGCATACCCTTATGAAACCAGGGTTGTCCATAGTCCTTGGGATTGGGCAAGCATACGCCATGAAAAGCCGCGATGGATTGGATGATGAAGTGATAGTCACCTGATACAATGCTTGTCCCCAACTGTCTCTATCATACCTGAAAAATGGACACTTGTCATAGTTCAACGAAACCAGAATATTTGGATCTTGTTGACGAAGATGTCCCAACAATGCTTTGATGGACGCTTCAGGACCCGCTGATGCCGTCGCTGCACAATCCAGCATACAAGAACCCAGAGGAATCGTAGGTACTGATTGTTGAAGGGTATCGGAAGCCGCACAAAGTTCCAGGGAAAAAACAATCCATTGTACAATCACCAGTGTTGAAATCATCCATCATCATCTCCAAACCATAGTAATCCATGTTATACATATTCACAGTGGAAGGTTTGCCCTTTGGTTTGCCACATCACTTTCTGGACATGCCCTTTTGCAGAGGATACACATCATAGTAATAATCTTCCATCCACATGCCATCTTTGGACTTGTTCTGACCCTTTTTGCCTTTGAGATAGGATTCTAGTTCAGCAGGAGACAAATACTTGCCACAACCTTTCTGGGTAAAACCTCGATCTGGACAATCTCGTGAATAGTGTTGAAAACTGCCACAAGTGAAGCAACCCCTATTGTCAGTTGTGGATGCACTCCCAGATGCTTTTCCAAAACCCCTATCTTTTCGCAACAACATGGCCGTCGCCTGTTGAGCCTGAGACCAAGTTCGCCGGGCCTCTGACATCAAAGCTTCAGCTAGGCGCTCTGCATCCAAGGCATCTTGAAGGTCAGCATCAGCTGGGTCATCAGCTTGTTCTGCAGGAGACGTTTCTTCCTGAGCCGCAGCAGCTTCAGGCCATGTATGTTCAGCGACATGTGAAGCCCATGAATACCAGTCATCACTCCATGTGTCATGCCAATCGGAGGAAACATCCCATTGCTCATGCCAGTTGTTCATGTGCGCACGTTGTCCTATCATAGCATGTCGTGATGAACCCAATTGCTCATCCCACAAGGTCTGTAAGGAATTCGAAATGCTGATGTAATCTAACTTGATGCCCAATCTAACTTGATGCCCGTAGCAGCCAAAACATCTCTCCATTCTTCGTTGGATAGGGATGCCGCAACCAGTAGTCTCCAACCACGCAACACTTCCAAAATGAAAGAATCCAGTGGACCCAAAACACCAGGAATAGGAGAACCATGCTGTGTAGGAGAACCATGTTGTGATGCTGGAGGGACTGCTCGACCATGCACTGAAGCCGCTGTAGGACTCATCCCTTGTTGGGCTATGATCCCCTTCTTGGTCAACAGAAGCATCACCACCCTCCGTCGGAGGTTGCCACTGACGCCATCGACGCCAATCACCCCATTGTTCATCATCTTTTGGAGACATGTCAGGTAAATCGAAATTCCTTGAACTTGGACCTATCCCATCTTTCTCTTCTTTCAACTGTACCAAAGCTTCTTGGAACTCTTCAAGTCAAAACCCAAACTTTCTCTAACCAAAAACTGTGAGATCCCTTCTTCTGGTCGACGCCGGAATGAGAAGTACTCCGACATGATCGCTGCTGCATTCGGGAGCGAACGTCGGACCAGTGGAGATGCTGACGCTCGCTGTAACAACGGATTTACCCCTTCAGGACCATCGAAATCCCTCTGATGCCATGACATAGCTAACAGTCGTGCAGAACCAGACAACTGACTAATAAGCTTACTGGCGAGGTATTGCCGTTGATTCACCTTTGTACTGCCAGCATACCAGGAAATCTCTTTCACATATCTACGCCATGTTTTGGAGGAGCCATCCCATGAAGGCACATAGGACTCAGTTCGATCTTTGGATGCCGACATGAATCTCTCTTGTATCCAAATCAAACAGATGGGCTACCACAGAGTAATTATTTGCGCAGGAGGCATTGGAGCTAGCCCTTGGAGTCGCACACTATGGCGCTCCGCTACCAATAGGATCTAAGCCAGTAGGTACATTTCTCGATTTGTGCAGCGTCAGGCAGGGGAATGCTAATCTTCTCTGAACCAAGTCACCACCGGATGCGTGCTCACAAGCAAGGAAACATGAGGCCGCTCACAGCCTTTTCACTGGCCACGCAACTTTCAAGGGGCCCCTGAGAATGATATGGCGTCAGGTGTATTGAACTCATGGTCACAGATACGAAGGGAATTGGAGTATTGCAGGTACCCATATTGGAGGATACACCCATCTGAGGTGAAGAGCCTGGGATTACCAGGCCGGGCCTTAGGAGAACCCATTTCTGGTGATGTTGGGGATGTTTTAAGGTATTGGGTTTACCATGGTTTACCACATGATTCAGGAGATCCACTTTTCGGTGGTTCAGAAAGTAGGCTACCATCACCATTCGTTTGTTTCTCACTGCAGCTCATTGAGACCTGGTTCTTGGTACATGTCACTTTCTTCCATGGATCCTTGACTCTTTGTGGAGAGCTATGGATGCCAACTAAGAGAATTTGGGGTATGGAGTATGGATGGTATTGGTGGCTCAACCACCAACGAATCAAAATCAGTCCTAAATGACGACAGGGCAAGCTGTTCAGATCTGTTCAGCCTATGTCGTTAGCATCTTCCAACCTCTTCGCTGTTGCTTGGTTCTCAGCAGCTTACCCCAAACAAGGTCACAACAAGTAAGGCTAAGTTGAAGGGGTTGCTCATCCCTGTGAACCCTTTAGGGAGTATGGTTTTTGATATTGTTTGATCCATGATGTGTTTAGTTGCACGATCATGTTTTACCCGAAACTGGTGGGATTATGAACCCCCCTTTTTTGGGGTGAGGTACAATCCCTGAGAGTAAGTTAGCTACCGCATTTCGGCCGACAACCTGGAGGCAACCTATCTCCACGAAGATTTGCGCGATTGGCGTCTTCCGTTTTCATGCGAATCATCGCTTGAAGACGGCCTATTGGAAGATGGGAAGCTGGAGATATTCCAACTACTCACAGGCGGGGCTCAGAAAGGGGTAGGAGTCACCATATTTTGAGGGCCAACGACCAAGAGCCAGAAATGATTTGTATATAATAAATCGGAAAACATCAGAAATCAATAGAAAGGTTCTTAAAGTGCCTGAAAAAGTTTTGGGAAGTTGTAAACGATCTACCACATGGCTTCAGTACTGGTTTTAGATGGGTTTAGTGTGTTTCACCTGGATTTTTGAATTATCAGAACATCAGATGGTCCAGAAAAGGTACACCAAATAGTTTGTCGGGATGCCAAAAAATCGGAGACACACTGCTACTCGTCTTCGAAAAGGTCATTGGCAAGGCGAGATCATCTTTTCTACCCTCAGTTCATCAGGTTGGAGATTTTACCCTCTGGTAAACAAACATAGCTATCGAAAATGGCTATTTACGGTTGATTGACCCATTAAAAATTGTGATTTTCGATAATGATGTTAGTTTACCAGAGGGTAATCCATCACAATATTTGCATCCCATGATGTGGATGACCCATGAAGTACCAGTCAGGAGCGCTTCTTAGGGATAGACGATCCAGGCCGACACAGATGCCAGGCTTGATAGCTGAAGTTCCCATATGAAACAGTCATGATTTTGCAAACCCTCCAAGTCCTCCAAAAAAAACTATACCCCATCATTATCATACCTTTCCCATACCTTTCCCATAGCTTTCCCATACCTTTCCCATACCTTTCCCGCAGCTCAAACGGTACCAGGCCAGACTCTTGGTGAGGCTCCCGCGCATGGCGGCCACACCGTTGGAGGTGCATTTCAACTTGGACCATAGCGCCTTTCTGCTGACCTACGCGGGCCACGCCGCGGCGCAATGGTTCGGCCTCTCGGTGAACTATGTGCATAGGCCCTTCCACGTCGCAAGCGCCTTATTTTAGAGAAGAAAATGGCGCTCTGGAGATCATCAGAGAATTCTGGAGATATTTTTGGCAGCCCCAAAATACCATGGGTAATACGAAGTCATGGTCATCCATGACGACTGGATGATTTGGGAAATACCCCCATGACTTAGGAAACCTCCATATTGGGTTGTGGATGGTTGATCTATGACCAGGCAAGGGTGTAATTATTGCATAGGGGGTTGATCATGGTGGATCAGAGATTTGCCGGAGTCGCCAGAGTCGCCAGAGTCTATGCTGCGGTATGCTTCAAGATTCCAGAAGGGCCCTAGATTCCTAGATGGCGAGTTTCCAGTCTCAAAGCTGTTTGTGTGGTCCCGTGTTTGACTTCAATGAACATGTTATTTCATTTTTTCATGGGGTAGTGCTGTGATGCTTAGGTTTGTTTGAACAGGGTACTGCAAATTCCAGTGGTTTATCATAACTTTCTCATATTCAATTGTGAGGGCTCATGTCCCATGTTCAAAAAAACATATCACATTGTTGGTTGAAATCGAAGCCGTATATTCCCCATAACATCCATTAACATCCCATAAAATCGCACAAACAACTCGACAAAATCTTCATTTTTGTTGGTTAATCCTGCTCTTCTGCAGGACCACTTCCCATTTTGCAGCGCTTTCCATTTTGCATTGATGCAAGTTGACATTTTTGCTTTTCACATCAGGATGGCCCCAAAGCCAGTGGATTATCATCTCCCGATTTCAACGGTGGGATGCCCAATTTTCAGACGCACCCTGCACCTCAAACACTCGGTTTTTGTCGATCTACGTACTTGCGGAATTCAAATGAAAGGATGCCTCCCATGCAGAATAAAGATAATTCAGTAAGGAACCTTGGGCCCACTGAGTTTATGTCAATCATCTCACAGATTTGATGAGCTAGTGGGATGTGAATTCGAACAAGACCCATTTCAAACCTCTGATGACATCTATTTTATATATGGGGGTGAATTATAACGACCTCACAACAAAGAAACGGTAGATGATGGCTACAGTACCAGGGCGAATGCCCAATTCGCTTTACTTCAGCTGAATTGTGGGAGTTCAGATATATGTGCGACAGAATATCCTTGTGCAGTCCATCACACAAAGCAGATCCAAACATCCCCGCATGTGCAGGGCTCGAAATACCAATTGGTAGATTATGAAATCAGGCTTCTTATTAGCACTTATTAGCCCTAGTTACAAACCCGGGTTCAAAACACAAGCCACCAAAACTGAAAACCTTCATCAACCAGCCATGTATTTCATGGGATGCCTACCAATAGGATCCATCCTCTCAGCCATGGTAAAATGGTAACCTTATGGGGTAAGACATGGTAAAACACTTTTTTTGGAGGTACTGGCAAGGTCTAGGAAAATGTTTTTTGTTCCCAAAAACCATGATGAATCTATGTCGTCCCTGCCTCCTATGGAATAATACGTGTGGAAATCAGCTTTGATTCACAGTGCAAACGTAGCTGGCGCGGAGTCTCTTTTAGCTGGCTAGAGCTCAAAGCCATGACTTTCAGAGCTTTCTTCACCCTGTTGCTCCTCGCGCACGTCGGGACCTCTGCGGCCTCGCGAAGTCGTCTCTGCCGGCGCTCTGCGGAGGCGTTGATAAGTCGGGCACCCGACTTTTCGCGGGCCAAGATTACCACCAGCCACTGGGAGTCTACCCGGCATTTCTTGATGGTATAATATGGGGATAATCATTAAGTTACCATAAGTTACTTATGAAGCATAGCCACTTATCATATAAGAAGCGATTGGGGTTAAACGGTGAAACCATGATTTTTCATGTGATCTAGGATTTTAGCGGGATTAGCTGGGACTCAATAGGAATTATTTAAGCATCCTAGGGAATATGAAACCATTGGTGAATTCCTTGTAAAAGCTGGTTAATGATTGGTTGGGGATGATCAGAATCCACGAGCTGGGAGTCCCCATGAAAACTGTATGTCCCAAGGGCTGAAAACAAGGTGGGCCAGAGAACCCAAAAGCAAGACGGCACACGGCACACTTTTTTAAAAAAATATTGTGGGAGTCAACATGTAAAAATAGTCCAAGTTTATGGGAACGGAAAGTTGGGAAAATGATGATTGACCATGGGATTTTAGAGTACCCGAGTTTGAGACATCGCCCTCCAAAATGGCACCCAAAGCATAACCACCGATATTGGGGGCGTAATCGATCGTGCGTAAATCCTTTTTTTTGGGCTGCAGGCCGGGGGTTATCATGGGTATAACATGGTATAACTATGACAATAACCTCCACAAGTTGGGATATGACCCCTACAACTATGGTTATATAACCCACTTGCTAGTGTGTGCGAGGCTTAGAAGTACCAACCCATTAGCGAGTTGAAATGCCCGATCCATTTGGGAGGCAACTAAAATAACTAAATCAATTGGAATCTACCAAGGGAGAAGTGGTATACCGGTGTACCGATGGGTCCTCAAGTTACTCATGAAGGTGGGTACGGTTCAGTTTTATGGGTACTGGTGAAGGTACCCAAATTGCCATGCAGGTTATCTGTTTGATGTTTTCGCTTTGCATCCAATAAATCCCTCATTGCTTCCACCAGCGAGGCCACCTTTATAAACGACATCTGGCGGAACATTTCTGTGGCATGGGTGCGAATATGACCGCTGTGGAACTTGGGGTCTATCATGGATATACCACCTCCCTACTCGCCAACATGTTCAAGAAGGTGATCGCAGTGGATGTGAACAAAGGGAATATTGAGACCGCAGCCAAGACTTTGGGTGAACTGGAACAGGAAAACGTGGTGTTTCTGCTGATGGATTTGATGGCGGATGGTTGGAGCAAATTCGCCAGCAACGATGTAAAGGTGGTGGTCATTGATGCAGATCACACCTATGCTGGGGTCAAACGTGATGCTGGCAATGCTTTACGCTACCTGCCAGAGGTGCAGTGGCTGGTCTTTCACGACATTTGGATGGACCCCGTCGCACTTGCAGTTCATGAATTCGAGCAGCAGGGTCTCCTAAAATGCACCTAGGCAATCGTGAATTCATGGTGGTTCCCAAGCAAGGTTAAGTTCTTAGGAACCGCTTGCAAGGATGGTTCCCAAAAACGGTTCCCAAGCAAGGTCCCAGGAACCGTTTCAGGAACAAGGCTCGCAGGAACAGGTTCTCAAGCAAGCGTTCCCAGGAAGAGCTGGTTCCAAAGCAAAATTTCCAGGAACAGGTTTTTCCACAACAGCGTAAGCTTGGGGTCTTCAGCCACCCCAGGAACAAGATTTCCAATCAAGTTTTCCAGGAACAGGTTCGCAAGCAAGGTTACCAGGAACGATTCCCAAGCCAGGTTCCCAAGAACAGGTTGCCAGGCAAGGTTCCCAAGGGTTCCAGAAACAGTTGCCAAGCAAGGTTCCTAGGAACAGGTTTCCAAGAAAAGGTTGCAAAAAAGGTTTCCAAGAATGGGTTCGCAAGCAAGGGGGGTTCAGGCAAGGTTCCTGGGAACAGGTTTCCAAGCAAGGTTCGCAAGCCCAGGTTCCCAAGCAAGGTTCGCAAGAACAGGTTCACAAGCAAGAATTCCAAGAACAGTGCCCCAAGTTCCCAAGCAAGGGTTCCAAGAACAGGTTTCCTTGCAGGGTAGCAAAGTTACCAAGCAAGGTCCTTGGGAACAGGTTTCCAAGCAATGTTTCCACGAACAGGTCCCCAAGCAAGGTTCCCAAGGACAGGTTTGCAAGCAAGCTTCGCAAGAACAGGTTCCCAAGCAAGGGTTCGAACAACAGGTTCCCAAGAACAGGTTCGGGTTCCAAGAACAAATTCTCTAGGAAGGTTCCGAGCGGTTGCTAGCACGAACACGTTCCCAAGCATGGTTTCAAAGCAAGGTTCCCCAGCAAGGCTTTCAATCACAGTTTCGCCAGCAAGGTTTCGAATAATCGGTTGACAGGCAAGGTTGTCACAAGAAAGGTTCCAAAGCAATGTTGCAAGAAAGGTTCAACGAACAGGTTCCCAAGCAAGGTTCCCAAGAACAGGTTGCTCATGTTCCCAGGAACAGCTTTCCAAGCACAACTTGCGAAGCAAAATTTCGAAGGACAGCTGCAAGCAAGGTTGGAAGCAAGAACAGAATCCCAAGCAAGGTTCCGAAGGACAGGTTCCTAAACAAGGTTCCCAGGCAAAGTTACGAAAAACAGGTTCCCGAGCAATGTCCCTTGAAGTAAGCAGGCAAAGTTTCCAAGAACAGGTTCCCAGGAAAAAGTTCCCAAGAACAGGTTATTATCAGGCAATGCTCCCAAGAGCACGTTCCTAAGAATAGGCTCCCAAGAACAGGTGCCCAAGCAAGGCTCCCAAGAACAGGTTCCCAAGCAAGGTTGCGATAAACAAGTGTCAAGCAACGTGTCCAAGAGAACAGTTGCCCAGGCAAGGTTCCAAGAACATTGAACAACAGAATGCTGCAAAATTTGAAGAATTTTTCAAATAACGGAACGGAGAGATTGAAGAACTAGTTTTGCTTCAAAAATGATACGGCACTTGGATAAAAACACTAGACGACAGCGTGGCCTGAAAGAAAGCAGGAGGGTGGAGACGAGAAAATAATACACAAGAAACATGATGATGATGGTGATGGTGATGATGACGACAATGATGATGGCGATGACGATGATGATGGTGAATGACGATGGAGATGATGATGAATGGTAGCTGACGCGAGTCAAATGTCATATATCCACGGTTTCATGCCTTTTTTTCCCCCACAGAGGGTTTGCTCCAGGGCTGGCACCTGATCGACAGTCAGAATCAAAAGACATGTTGTTTTTACATAGCGAAAAAAGTTCACAGAGAAGATTTTACACAGAAGCCTTTACACAGAGAGGGATTTACACAGAGCAGCTTTTACACAGACGCTTTTGCACACAGACGCTTTTATATACAGAAGCTTTTACATAGAAAAACCTTTTCTAAAGAAGCCTTGCCACATGAAACCTTTACACAGAGCAGCTTTACACACAGCCGTTTTTTCACAAAGAAGTTTTTACACACAGGAACTTTAACGCGCAGATGCCCAAGCTTTTACACACAGGAGCTTTTGCACACTCACGCCTTATACAAAGAAGCTTTTAGACACAGAAACTTCTACAGCCTTGTCACAAGAACGCTTTTAATTACACACAAGCTTTGGCACAGAGATGCCTTTACAAACAGAAGCTTTTACACACAGAAGCTTTTATACTCAGAGAAGCCTTTAAACAGAGCAGCTTTTACACACAGAAGCTTTTACACACAGACGCCTTGCACACACACACAGATGCTTGTATACAGAGCAGCCTTGACACACAGACGCTTTTACAGAGAGAACCCGTTACACAGAGCAACTTTTACACAGAGCGGCTTTTGCACACAGACAAAGAAGCTTTTCTACACAAACGCATTTACACACAGAGGCCTTTACACACAGAAGCTTTTACGCACAGAGGTTTTCACACGGAAGCTTAAGCTTTACACAGAGGAGCTTTTATACAGAGAAGCGTCTAAACAGAGCATCTTCTAGGTCATGTATGTGTTGTAGATGATGTATGTCATGTAGATGAGGTTGATGGAAAAAGTTTGTGTAGGTGATGTAGATGGTGTAGGTGAGATTGATGATGATGATGATGATGATGATTATGTAGAGAATGTAGAGAAGATGGTGCAGAAGATGTAGGTGATGTTGGTGATGTAGAGGATGTATACCAGATAACAAACAGATGGCACAAACGTGCCAGGCAAAACAGATGTCATGTTCAGCCTCAATATCTCGCACATGCTCCAAAACTGCCATCTGATTGCGTGCAAAAAATTGGATCGAAACATATCAAAATGCATCAAAACCCCAAATGGATTGCCAACTGTGTGTGTGTGGAAGTGCTCGCTCTCTCCGTCCCCAGATCTCAGAGCACTCGCTCCCCAGGCTTCTTTTCCTTCAAGGCCCCAAGACCAAAAGGTCTTGCACTCTTTCCAACGCTTTACAATTTCCGTGCCTTGCTCGTTGCAGGAAGGATCCACCTTTATGATTTCACAAGGGGAACAAGCTCAGTTTCTTTCGTCCACTGCCAAGGTTTCCTGAGGGATTTGCGCAGGTGACATGGCGCACAAGCAGATGGCATGTGGCTTCCTTTCAATGGATTTCTCCGCAATTTTGTGGTTGCTCCTTTGCTTTGAACTGCTCCGCCCTTAAAAATAACTGAGAAAATGAAAATGTAGCTTGTATCATTTCACTGTGCTAGGAGGAACTAACCCAAGGTTTTTGGTCCAATTCCGCTGCAAAAGGTTTCCTGACAATTCGCAGGCGATGCAGTTCACAAGTAGATGGCACATGGCTTCCTGGTTCCTTTGCGTTTTTCTATTTTTTTCTTTGCTTTGGGGCGCTTCATCCGCATTTTCCATGCCCTCCCAAATTTCCCCATTGCAGGATATTGCAGGAAGGTTTTACTTATATGATTTCATTGCGTTAAGAGGACCCATGCCCAGTTTCTTTCGTCCACTGCCAGGGTTTCCTGAGAATTTGTGCGGGCGACATAGTGCACAAACAGATGGCATGCGGCTTCCTTTCAGTGGATTCCCCTGCAGCTTTTCTAATTTTTCTTGTGTTATGGTTTACTCCTTTGTTTAAAAATAACTGAAAGATCACATCTTCCATTCCCTTTTCCTCTTGCTGATTCCAGTTGCTGCTGCCCGTGTTTGTCCGTCACTCAAGTGAATGCTCTAAATGCTGAACTTTCTAAGTGCTTGAGTGTATTTATATTTATATAGCTGATGCTTCGGTCAAATGGCTGCAGATAATCTGTATGTTTTGACGCCTGCCATCTGATTGTGTGGGGAATTTGGTTCGGTAGAAAAAAGTGGGGAATTTGCACTATCATATGGCATATTAACGTCCTTCTGTCTGTGCCATCTGTTCGTAACCCTGTATAGTGATGTAGATGATGGTGTACGTAATGTATCTGTTGTAGATAAGGTAGGTCATATAGATGAGGTTGACGGAAAAATGTATAGGTGGTGTAGGTAATGCTGGTGAGACAGACAGATGTAGAGGATGATGATGATGATGGTGATGATGATGATGATGATGGTGTAGATGTAGATGTAGAGAAGTATAGAAGATGTAGGTGATGTAAAGGACGTAAGAGATGTGGATGATGTATGTTAGGTAGATGAAGTGAAGAGTGAGGCGGGCAGCAGTTCTTTGGGAAAAACCCTTCGCACGAGCTTCGGGGATATTGGCACTTCAGCTGCCACAGTATTGCAAACGCTTTTGGAAAAGCGGTTTTCATAAAGTGTTTGTGCTGTGATTGCGCCTTGCACGCCCGACCTCTAGAGACTCTAGACTCTAGAGTAAGAAGGGCTGGGCAATAAACATACTTCACTCATTGCGTGTTTGGTAACTGTTTTCGTTTCTAGCTCTTTGCGCCTATGAGTGTGTTTTTTTAATACTTTTTCATTGGAAAAATATGGCAAAATTGCACAGGCACCGCTGTTGGCTTGGGATTTGATGGCTCCCCCTATGCATATCGAGTGGTGGACGAGCATCTTCCTGGTGGCGTGACACTCATCCGACAGAAACTGGAGGGCAAGATCTGTAGACGATTGTTGGGCGCAAAGATGGTTCAGCCCAACTTTATCGATCAACAGTTTATGCTTTACAGGCGCTGGGGCAGTGATGAAAGGTGACCAACTGGGGATTGTCAACTGGGATTGATCGAAGGATGTCTAATCCGGGTTCCTAAGTCATAGGGGACCCCAAGTTATCATTCAAAAATCGTCATGTCTTATAGGGAGACTCATTATTTGGGGTACAGATATATGAGGATACACCCGAGGTGAAGAGCCTGGGACCAGGCCGGGCCTTAGAAGAACCCATGTCTGGTGATGTTGGGGACGGTTTACGGTATTTGGTTTACCATGGTTTTCCACATGATTCAGGTCCTTTTTTCGGGTTTCAGAAAGTAGGCTACCATTACCATTCGTTTGCTTCTCACTGCAGCTCATTGAGACCTGGTTCTTGGCACATGTCACTTTCTTCCATCGATCCTTGACTCTTTGTGGAGAGCTATGGATGCCAACTAAGAGAACTTTGGGTATGGATGGTATTGGTGGCTCAACCACCAACTAATCAAAATCTCGCCCAAATGACGACAGGGCAAGCTGTTCAGATTTGTTCAGCCTATGTCGCTAGCATCTTCCAACCTCTTCGCTGTTGCTTGGTTCTCAGCAGCTTACCCCAAACAAGGTCACAACAAGTAAGGCTAAGTTGAAGGGGTTGTTCATCCCTATATGAGCCCTTTAGGGAGTTTGGTTGTTGATATTGTTTGATCCATGATGTGTTTAGTTGCACGATCTTGTTTTACCCAGGGTGGGATTATGACCCCCCCTTTCTTTGGGGTGAGGTACAATCCCTGAGAGTAAGTTAGCTACCGCATTTCGGCCGACAACCTGGAGGCAACCTATCTCCACCACGAAGATTTGCGCGACTGGCGCCTTCCGTTTTCATGCGAATCATCGCTTGAAGACGGCCTATTGGAAGTCGGGTAGCTGGAGATATTCCAACTACTCACAGGCGGGGCTCAGAAAGGGGTAGGAGTCACCATATTTTGGAGGCCAACGACCAAGAGCCAGAAATGATGTGTATATTACAAATCGGAGAGCATCAGAAATCGATAGAAAAGGTCTTACAGTGCTTGAAATGGGTTTGGGAAGTTGTAAACGATCTACCACATGGCTTCAGTACTGTACTGGTTTTAGATGGGTTTAGTGTGTTTCACTTGGGTTTCTGAATAATAAATCAGAACATCAGATGGTCCAGAAAAGGTACACCAAATAGTTTGTCGGGATACCAAAAAATCGGAGACACACTGCTACCCGTCTTCGAAAAGCTCAGTGGCAAGGCGAGATAATCTTTTCTACCCTCAGTTCATGAGGTCGGAGATTTTTTTTCATCCATCACCATATTTGCATCCCATGATGTGGATGACCCATGAAGTACCAGTCAGGAGCGTTTCTCAGGGATAGACCATCCATAGTTGAAGTCCCCATAAAAAAACAATCGTGATTTTGCAAAACCTCCAAGTCCTCCAAAAAAAAACTCTACCCCATCATTATCATACCTTTCCCATACATTTCTCATACCTCTCCCGCAGCTCAAACGGTACCAGGCCAGACTCTTAGTGAGGCTCCCGCGCATGGCGGCCACACCGTTGGAGGCGCATTTCAACTTGGACCATAACGCCTTTCTGCTGACCTACGCGGGCCACGCCGCGGCGCAGTGGTTCGGCCTCTCGGTGAACTATGCGGATCGGCCCTTCCACGTCGCCAGAGCCTTATTTTAGAGAAGAAAATGGCGCTCTGGAGATCATCAGAGAATTCTGGAGATATTTTTGGGAGCCCCAAAATACCATGGGTAATACGAAGTCATGGTCATCCATGACGACTGGATGATTTGGGAAATACCCCCATGACTTTGGAAACCTCCATATTGGGTTGTGGATGGTTGATCTATAACCAGGCAAGGGTGTAATTATTGCATAGGGGGTTGATCATGGTGGATCAGAGATTTGCCGGAGTCGCCAGAGTCGCCAGAGTCTATGCTGCGGTATGCTTCAAGATTCCAGAAGGGCCCTAGATTCCTAGATGGCGAGTTTCCAGTCTCAAAGCTGTTTGTGTGGTCCCGTGTTTGACTTCAATGAACATGTTATTTCATTTTTTCATGGGGTAGTGCTGTCATCAGGGTACTGCAAATTCCAGTGGTTTATCATAACTTTCTCATACTCAATTGTGAGGGCTCATGTCCCATGTTCAAAAAAACATATCACATTGTTGGTTGAAATCGAAGCCGTATATTCCCCATAACATCCATTAACATCCCATAAAATCGCACAAACAACTCGACAAAATCTCCATTTTTGTTGGTTAGTCCCATCATATGGAACGCTTCTCGTTAAAACTCCCGTCACCCGGAGTGCTGCCCTCGGCCATGGCCGCTTGGGAACAGGACGTCGCCGCCGAAACCGTCGAGTCCGAAGAGACCAGCGAGGCACAGGAAACAGTGGAACAAGTCGAGACAAGGTGAGACCCCCAGTCATAAGTGGGTTATAACTGATAGTTGGTTTATGCTACCGGCGCTGTTAACGGATCTGCAGGTTTTGCTTTTTTTTGCTGTTGCATTGCCCGTCAGTTAGAAGTTGTGCCCGTCGGCCCGTCGGTTTGAAGTTGTGCCCGTCAGTTAGAAGTTGCGCGCGGAGAAGAAGGGTTCACAAGTCTTTTCACAGAAACCGAATTTTGGGTTCCAGGCGCTAAGGGTACATATTCTAGGCGCCGATTGTACGGCCGATCATCCAAGAAAGTAAAACCGAAGGGCTATGGTAAGAAAGGCAAACGTTCAAGACCCGGCTTCCGCCCGAGGTAGACACCATTTCTAATTCAAAGCAAAACAACAAAATCGTCACGGCGCCACAGGTTTTAAACAAATCAATGAAGAATGGTTGAAATAATTAGCAGTAGTACCGCACAAGGCGGTGGCGGAAGTTTCAAAAATAGGAAACCTATAGGAGAGGTTGGTTGTTGTGAATCAGGTATGGCAGAGCGAAGCCACTGATGGACCGACAGGTGATTGAGCTCTCCTCTCTTTCTCCCTTTCTTTCTCTCTTTCTCTGACTATCTACCTAGCAATCTATCTATCTAGCAATCTATCTATCTCAACTGTCCCTCTAACTGAGTATCTATCCATCTATCCATCTATCCATCTATCCATCTATCCATCTATCCATCTATCTATCTATCTATCTATCTATCAATCATCTATCTGTCTATCTACCTATCCATCCATCCATCCATCCATCTATCAATCTATCCATCTATCCATCTATCCATCTATCCATCTATCCATCTATCCATCTATCTATCTATCTATCAATCTATCTAAACTATCTATCTAAATTATCTACCTATCTATCTATCTATCTCTCTCTCTATCTACCTATCTATCTATCTATCTATCTACCTATCTATCTAAACTATCTATCTAAATTATCTACCTATCTATCTATCTATCTGTTTGTCTATCTACCTATCTATCTATCTATCCATCTATCTATCTATCTATCTGTTTACCTATCTATCTATTTATCTGTCTATCTGTCTCTCTACCCATCAATCGATCTATCTAGATGTCTATCGATCCATCCATCCATCTATTCTATCTTGGTGTCCTTCTATCTATCTATCTATCTACCTATCTTTCTATCTATCTATTTATCTATCTATCTATCTATCGATCTATCTATTATCTATCTACCTATCTATCTATCTATCTACCTATCTATCTATCTTTCTATCTATCTATCTATCTATCTATCTATCTATCTATCTATCTATCTATCTATCTAATCTACCTAATCTATCTATCTATCTATCCATCCATCCATCTATCTATCTATCTACCTATCTATCTATTTACCTATCTACCTATCTACCTATCTATCTATCTATCGATCGATCTATCTATCTATCTAATCTATCTATCTAATCTATCTAATCTATCTAATCTATCTAATCTATCTAATCTATCTAATCTATCTAATCTATCTAATCTATCTACCTATCTTTCTATCTATCTATTTTTCTTTCTATCTACCTATCTATCTATCTATCTATCTACCTATCTATCTATCTGTCTATCTGTCTCTCTATCCATCAATCGATCTATCTAGATGTCTATCTATCCATCCATCCATCTATTCTATCTTGATGTCCATCTATCTATCTATCTATCTATCGATCTATCTATTATCTATCTACCTATCTATCTATCTATCTACCTATCTATCTATCTATCTATCTTTCTATCTATCTATCTATCTATCTACCCATCTACCTATCTATCTATTTACCTATCTACCTATCTACCTATCTATCTACCTATCTACCTATCTACCTATCTACCTATCTACCTATCTACCTATCTACCTATCTACCTATCTACCTATCTATCTATCTATCTATCTATCTCTCGGTCTGTCTGTCTGTCTATCTATCTCTCGGTCTGTCTGTCTGTCTATCTATCTACCTGTCTTTCTGCAAGCTTCAAAACCTGGCTATTCTGCGAGACTTCTTCATTTTTCAAATTGGGCAACATAAAAAACGCGGCAATTCTGCGTGACTTCCTCATTCTTTAAAGTTGACAACATCAAAAACGAAACAATTCTGCGAGACTTCTGCAGTTTTTGAACTTGACAACATCCAAAACGAAGCAATTCTGCGAGACGTCTTAAATTTTTGAACATGACAACATCAAAAACAAAGCAATTCTGCGAGACTTCCTTCAAAAATAGAAAGTTAAATGCAGCGCTGACAGCCTCGTACCAATGCGTTTTGCGATTTTTCCACTCCACCTGTCTAAAGTATTGCGCCTCCCACGCAAAATCATCTTAGCAAACCTACAGATCAGATGCTCCAAAATGCAACCCCTCTCAGGAAATCAGCGCCCTGACCTCCTAACATCTCTCATGAACATGTCTTTTGCGAAATGCATCTTGGCAGATCCTCTTCAAATGTCCCACGCCTGCCATGGTTTTTGGAAATACGACAAAACCCTCACGTTTTGCTCACTCTTGACAAGGTGCACAATCCCTTGCGCCTGCCACGCGACACGACATCTGAACTTCCAAAAGTGGCGCGAGCATGTGGTGTTTTGTACTTTTTGACTTCGAAATGTGCTTCGCGCCACAATGGCGTGCACAACTCGACATCTCAACTTCCAAAAGTGGTCCGACACTGGTGTGCTTTGTACATTTTGACTTCGAAATGTGCTTCGCGCCACGTTAACGGCGTGCACTTTTTCGACATCGCAACTTCCAAAAGTGGTCCGATCCTGGTGTGTTTTGTGCATTTTGACTTCGAAATGTGCTTCGCGCCACAACGGCGTGCACTTTTTCATCTCTCATCTGGCCAGATGTCTCCGCACCTGCCGCTTTAGCGAGCCTACTTTTCGACCCTCCGGAACCACAAATCATTTTGGAAAAACTCAGTGTTTCGCGACTTTCCTACCTTTTCGCGCATCTGCATCTTCTTTCTTCTGACTCTTTCTCTTCTCTGATCTGCTCTCTTCTACTCTTCTCTTCTCTCTGCCTCTGCCCAGCTCTGCTTTTCATCTTTCCATATTGTCGATCATTAAAAACACCTGGTCCGCTATCAGCGCCGGTACCTGGTTTATAAACCCATTAATTAACTATAGACATCTATAGTCTATAGACGCTTAAATGATATGTTATATGATATCCCCCATAAATCCAGTTAACCAGTCAAAAATCAACTTAGCTATCTCGGGACCCTCACCTTGTACAACAGTAGACATGCAAATAGTGGCATTTTGAGAAACCCAACTGCAGAGCCAAACAGATTGGTACCCATGAGGAAGAATCACCCAGATAGCTAGGGAGGATTGGCCCGATGTTTCGCGACCTACAATGACCTGCAAAGAAGAGACATAGATCATAAGCGATGGATCGGTGGGATGGGACGTGCGCACAATAGGAATAAACCACAACTATGATCGATCATCTTCTTGCCGTGATGTTCGATGCAAAAAAACAATGAAATGCAGGAATGTCCCGATCATCAAGTCCGTTCGATTTCCTGTGGGCTGAATGTTCTTAAAGTTTTGTCCATTATTTAGCGACTGGTTGAGATGTGAGTGGAATGAATGGAATAAAACGCGTCCGAGGCAGTTCCATTGGTTCCGAAAGTATTTTTACTCTGAAGGTTTTGAGAATGTTTGACCAAGGTATTTCTTCAATTTTGGACACCCAAAGATTGAATATAAGAATCTCATAGGGATCTCCAAGAATAGATGGTTGAGATTGATTCGCCCCTATAAACGTGCTTGTTGGTGGTTTATCAAACCCTTAATAACCCTTTATCTCAATATTGAGGGTGGGTTATCTTCAGATCGCAGCACTGCAGGGTGGCGACAACCAGCGAAAACTTCGCGGTCCTGAATTCAAACGCGCCGAGAAGCCGCTTGGACGGTTGTGCCCACGGTGGTTACTGTAACATGTTCCCAGGATTTTAATGGAATTTTGTGGGGATTGGTTCGGAGCTATGGGCATCCACATTTCCGAATGGAAAGCCAAGAAGCAACATATCCCCATTGGTTTGATCCTCGTCGTTTTCGCATGATCATTCCAAAAGCCGATCTGGTTGGTGGTTTGGAACATTCTGTGTTTTTCCATATATTGGGAACAATAATCCCAACTGACTATTTTTTTCAGAGGGGTCGAAACCACCAACCAGAGATAGACAACTAAGATTCGAATAGTGCATGGTGGTGAAT